AAGCTTTTTTCAGCCACTGCAGTTAATATTTTTATCTGTAGGACATAAAGCAAAATTAAGACAGTTGGGACTGAGAGTCTTATCAGTTGCTGCAGTCACATCTAGCACAGTTTGTGAGTCAGGGCCCCAAAAGCATGAAAATCCTGAGCTGCAATACTCCTTCTGAAGTACATACATCAAATCACATTTTGTATCTCCATCTGAAACAAAGCAATGGACTGGGAACAGGTTTTATGGCAAGTGCAGTTCCACTTCTCCCTCATCCACCTCCATGTTGCAGAGACTGTAAATGATCTGTCTCTCTTCTCCCTCTAGAGATAACCATCCTCTAATCCTTCTTGTGCCTGACATCCACTCAGCTGCAAAAAAACCTACCATTTCTTTGTTCTTTACAGTGGGTCTGTTACAGATCCAATTAAATTCTGAGGAAGAATTTTAGGTATCTATGAAATCTGTAGCTTCAGCTTTGATTTGAAGAAAGCCATTTGTACTCAAAAGCTTGCTTAATTTTTTTCCATATATGCTGGTGGAAATGTAATGAAAGGAAAAACTTCTGTAACTGATCCTTGTCTTTGTTACACATTGTATTAGATGTAAATAGATTAGATTAATTTTTTACAACTTGGAATAAACTGCAAAAAAAACAACATGAATGAAAAGTCAAAAAAATAAAAACCCCAAAAAAACTCTTAACAAAGAAGAAGAGTGGAAAGTAGCAAGGTGAAAAAAATTAATAAGTGAAAATAAATGGATATTGTTCAAATTCTCTTGATAGTAGAAAATATTTTTTATAAGAATGCTGTTGCATAGTTCTCTATCTCTCTTTGTTGATGAACACTGACTTAATCTAAATGTATATTGTAAAGCACAAAATAATGCAATAATATCGTACAGTTATTTCCAAAATCGAGATTAGGCTTTTTCTAGTGGTAGAAGCTGAACTCAGTCACAAAAAATATCTGATTGAAAATTGCCCTTCTCTTATTTTTTTCAGGATTATTTTTAAACTGGCATAAAAGCCTTCTTTTGGTTTGCTGTGTGATGCTGGAAGCATCCGTACTATGGCTGTCACATGGCAGTGACAGATAAATTACAGTGTTACACAGGCAAGAAGGTGGAAGGCACAGAAATGACAAACTGCTGGATGTCCTTTCCCTCCCCTACCCAGCCCAGGGGCTGTTATCTCAAAGAAGGGGAAAAAGGGAAAGGAAAAGCGGAAAGACATAATAACAAGTAAAGAAAATATCTATCCAGCATTGGAACAGACTGAAAGTAGACATAATATAGTTTTAACTATCAGATATCAGCTTAAACTTCTTTTTCTTCCAGAGAAGGTTTCATTTCAGAAGTGCATGGAAGGAAAAAAAATGAAAACCCTGCTGATTCTTGCTGTACTACAAATTTTAAAAAGGGGACAAAAGTGACTTTGAGTAGAACAGACGGAATAAGATGTAAAGGAGCATTCATGAAGTAAGATGGTAAAAAAGAATAACTCTACAAAATTAGAAGTTGTAGTTAATAAAGCTGTAGATAGAAAGAAACAGTAATTATGGCAGTCAAGATCCTCGTCCTTTTAGAACTGGTGGAACTCGTGGCCCAGTGGCAGGGACACAGGACTACAAGGCATGCTCACTACGTAACACTGTGGTATGCAGGGTAGTCTCATGCCATGCTAATATTTTCTACCAGCTAGATAAAACATAATGTTTTTCTTCTTCTATGTTCTTCTTATGTTCCTGTGCTTTGTTTTCTGAAATTATTGGCTTCACTGATGGTAGCCAAAATTTTATGGATTGATCCATATTGTTGTTGACCTAAACTGCATATGAATGCTTTTTGGAAGTACTGTATTATCTATTTAAACAGCTATGTTTAAATATTCTTACACTTCAACAAAAGAAAAAAGTGTGCATAGAGAACAAAGGAGAGCTTGGAATAATACTCAAGTCTTCTAGCACCAGCTTTAATTACAGAGATAATTCCCTTGTGTACATTGTGGTTTTTTTAGCTCAGTCCTTCAACATGTAAGCTAGACTTATTACTGATAAAGTTGAACTATTGCCATTATGACTTGGTTAGTGCTTACTGGAAAAAAAAAAAATAGATTTTCAGTGATAAATGAAAGCCATAGCATCATGAAAGTACTTAACTGATCACTGAAAAAAATATATACCTGTTATTCATACAAACATACCGTGCTATATTCTGTACCAGTAAGGAACTACGTTGGAATCTATGTCATTTAGCATATTTACAAATTATGTGAAAAAAGGTTTGAGTATCCAGATGACATGACAATGTTTGTTGCTGATGCTAAGCTTTTTGTGGCAGTAAATACAGAGGCTGAATAGTAAGAATGGGAAAAAGACCTCATGAAACTGAGGATTAACATAATAGATGAAATTTTATAACAAGTCAAGCATACTGGAGAGGGGAGTAATTCCAACTTAATTAATAAAATGCTGTGCTCCAAGGCAATAATGATCTCTCTCAAATGAAATCTTGTTTTATAATACTTGTTTGCATGTTTGCTCAGTGTGCAGTGACTGCCAAAACGCAAATAGGATGTTAACAATTTTCAGCAGCAGCAGAAAAGAATAAATGTTGTTAATACAGTCTTGCATCTAAATCTCTGGTGAACCTGTATCTTCAGCACTGGATGAATTATTTGTTTCTAACTTTAAAGAGGATGTGTATCCCAAAGAGCTGGGAAAAGTAGACAAGGATACAAAGGGAATGAATGCCTTTGGACTGACTCTTCAGTGAGAAACTACTAAGGTGGGATTTCTTGGCCTGGAAAAGAGGCAAAGAGGAAAAGATGCAATTAGGTATACCATACCTAATTCAATCCTTTCTTCACTAATGTAAGATGGGGGACATAACATGCAGCCAACAGGAGACACTTTCACAGCAATGAATAGGCAGTGCTTCTTCATAGACCATGTAAATCCAAAATTGAGGTCTCCTCATCAAAGGGTGTTGTAGATACAAAAACTGATTGTCTGCATGCAGGGAGTGAAGATGTTCACAAACAAATAATCTTCTGAAAGCTAGTAAATATAGAGCCACCACCAATGTCTCCACAAATAAATGGAAGCTTGAAAGTATGATAGTGAGCTATGCTTGCTCTAACCTTATTGTTTTATCCAAGCCTGCACCTTTTTCCCTTGCCAGAGACATAGTTCTGTCTCCTTGAATGCGAGCTTTACTACAGCAAATACTAGGATAATAGCAGGGAGATCACAAGCCATTATGTTGGGCTTGTCTACAAGTGTGATTCCTTCAACTTTGCTGAAAGTCCCTTGAACAGTTACATGCAGGGATATGATCAAGTTTTGATGTATTCAGTTTTCAATAGAAAAATAATTTTACTTACATATCATTTTGCTTAATGAAAAATAAAAACTACTTCCCATGTGTAAAAATACACAAAAATCTGCAATACCTCACATGGTAACGTGCTAGCTAGCAGTTTATTAAATGAGGATCTATTCGTAATATTAGATCAGAAATTTTAAAATGGTAGTGCAGGTTAGCAGCTACTGTGGTATTGAGAAAAATGTCTGTCTAGCAAGAGCTTTGTTATGCTGTGGAAAGTATTCATGCTGTGCATGAGTGCACATCTACTCAATGTGCAGTGACTGCCAAAAAGCAAATAGGGTGTTAAGAATTCTTACCAGCAGCTGAAGAAAATAAATGTCATTAATACAGCTATGCATGAATATGCGTAAGTAGCAGAACTCCTTGCACCTACCATTTCACACTAACTATTTCTGTAGTTTTCTACTCTATGTTGGTGGTGAATCTTGCTTGAAAAGCTTGTAGAACCTCCTCAGAGCACCCTACAAGCCCCTGAGAGGACCCATTACTTTTCAACTTGACCTAAATGCTGAACACTAAAGCTGTGTGTAGCTGAAGCCTTATTTATTATCAGGTTAGCTCTTGGGCTGAGCTCATGCTGCATCAGCACACCTGGTTTTCCACACTGCCTATGCAATTCTATCTCTGCCTTTAGGTGAGAGAGGACCACCTTAAACTGTGGCCAGCTTAAATGGGGAACCAATCAGGTGTAATGAAACCTCCTAAGCAATCCACATGCAGCACAAATGTGGCAAAACTTAGTTGTAGAGGTATCTACACTCAAGCCTAAATTCAAATAGCTGCAAAAGACAGATAGATATTAAGCACAAATGTTGCCATATGTCTTCTTGCTGCGATGGGTTTATCTTTTTATACAAATCTTATACTATTTTTAGAAAATGCAGTAGGTCATTTAAAATACTTTGCAATCTGTTTCATGAAACTGAAATGACCTGGTAAAGTAGATAAGAGCTAAAATCACAACACATAAGTCTGACTGCCTGATAAGCTGAAAAGCCAAAAGTAAATGAAAGGGAGCTTTTGTTATACCTTCTGCTTTATTTATGTGGATGAAGGCTTTGTTTATCTTGCAAATTCAAAAACCTTCAAAGTTCTGTGTACATTTGTGTACAGTCTTTATATACCAAATGAATAACCACATAGGCAGAGCAGGTGCTACATGTACTGGTTAAATAAGATTTCGGCTTGTCAGAAACATGCACAACAGCCTTTTGATTTTTCTATATTTACTTGAGTCTTCATAGCACAGAAAGCAAAATCATTTTCTTCAGGGTGTCAGAATGCACATTTGGATAGTCAAGTTGACATTTTATGTCCAGAAAAACAGCTTATAGATATTTAACTATTATAGTTTATGTGAATTAAGGATTACAATTAAAAAAAAAAATGTGATCCAAAGTAGTCTAATTGCTTTCTCACTGTAATTATTAGTGCAATGTTTATTTTCTGGTATGTTAAAGGTCTTCTTCAGCACTATAATACAATCCAGTCAATGGCTCCTGCTTGTCGAATCCAGCTGTATCAGACCAACAGCTGGTAACTGCTGCTCGTTTAACCCTAATTGATACTAGCAGTAAAGTGCAAGAAGAAAATCAATGAATGTTTGCAGAATCAGGAAATTCACACATGGGCCCAATGAATTTTGACAGACAGCATTTGTGCACTTTAAGAACTGTGATAAAGATGCTGAAACCTTGAAATGCAGGTGCGTTCTGCAGAGAGCTTCTTTTCAGTAAAAGGTATGTGCTACTGTCTTGTTTAAATAATGCACTATTTATTTTGATTAAGTTCTATGCTGACAGAGTAAATTTGTATCATCAGAAAGTTAAGAGGCAATTACATAGTTGTTGTACTGGGTAATGTTTCTTTTTAATTTAGATATGTTCATTTGCTACATCTGAAAGTTATGGAGACCTAGCACTGAATTGTCCTTACTGCATGATGCCTACTTCAGCAAGCTGAGTGTAGTGCTCTTACATGAGTCTGATTACAGGTGTAGAATAGAATTATTATTGGATATACTAAATTTAAATATAGCATTGCATCAACTAGAAAAATAAACTATTGTCTAATGTTCTTTTATTTTGGAGGACCTATTTTAAAGAAACCTTAATTTGTGCTATACAAAACAAATTATTTTGTCATCTACTCTTATTTTAATCTCTATTAAATACTGTGATTCAGAAATGTGCTTTTATGGGCCTTATTGCTGAGGCATCTGAACATTGCAGTGATTATTCTTATCACAGCTTTGTGAGGCAGCAAACTATTAGCTCTCTTCAGTAAATAGAAGATTGGACCAAAGGAAAGACTGAATTATCAGAGTAATTATCAAAATTATACTGAAACATTAGAAATAGTAAAAATAAAGTCATTCTGATTTTTATTTTTACTTTAAAAAAAATAGTATAAAATAATAATATAATAAAACAGTATGCAGTTTGATAATGTCTGAATAGATAAGTGTAGAGTTCTGTCTTTGCTGAAAAACGCAGCAACTGAGACAGCTGGGCAGATCTGCCTACCTGGAAATGAAATAAGGGATTACTGATTAAATTTCTCTACATCAGCCACCGCAATGCTCTTTAGATTAAATACTTAGCTTCTAAGTCCATTCCTAGTCTTGACGTTAATAATGTCAAATTTGCAGCTGCAAGGTAAAGTAAGCTCAAGGGAAAAGAGAAGGGGAGAAAAGGGCGATGCTGTCAATTCCTTGTTAGCCTACTGCATTCATAGATCATCAGACTAGATAACAAAATTATTAGAATAACAGAGAAAAAAGGCAAAGCAAAGTATTCTGCTGTTAGACTTGTGATACTTTGTCTTTCTACTTTCTTTTCTTGTGGTCTTGGAATAGAATTGAACTTGTTTCTTTGGGGAGCTCAGCTCCAGAGACTGTAGCTGAAATAATGATTTCCTCAGTGTATTAAATAATTCTGACATGCTGCTCATTTTCTTAATTATTTCCCAAGTATCAGTAGTTGAAAACCTGTAAAAAATAATGGTATAAGTAATCAGTCTATTGACATTATTTCTCCTGTAGGCTAAACAAGATAGTAAGAAATGTGTACTGAATTTGAACGTATCTGATGTATTTCACAGATCAATTTTGTTTAAACTAAAGGGGAAAAAATAACCTGCTGCCTTTCTTTCAAATATCCACAAGGCAGGAACCAGAGATTTCTTCATTCTGTATACTTTTTGGGTTCTATTGCTGTGGCTTTTACATATGGATAAATGGCATGCTGTGAGCTAGATAAACATGCAGAATAAAATGCTTGCTTCAGTATTTTATCTCTGGTGATACAGTCCAGAAACATGGCTCAAATCTTCAGGAAAAAGCAAGTAGGTTAAAAAGATAAACACATGTAAAACTACATAAGGATTTGCAAAGCCATTGACATTATATTATAATCATGTACTTAAAAAACTGCAAATAATTTATAGTCTTAATATTCATGAGCATTATAAGCTAAGGATAAGGCTGAGAAAAGGCCTAAAACAATGTCTACAAAGAAAGCCAGTAATGGCATTTGCCTAAATGGAACAAATATTCCACACATTTTGACTGCTGTTAGCATTCTGAAAATGCTTTTCAGAAAAATGGTTTTCAGATTCAAGGAACTATAAATAAACCATTTTTTCACTTTGGATTCTCCTTTACTTCATCTGATGCTGACTTTTATCTCCATCTGCTGAGAGTCATGTATCCCTACTTACTGAGATTTCTCTAAGTTTACAATACAGGCATAATGTAATGCCCACTTCTGCTTTGAGCTGGGTCTTAAAATAAATAGGACTTTCTTATTTGAGAGACTCAAAAAGATTTTTTTTTTTAAGAAAGACGGATGTTATCTTTCTTACCTATTAAAGCCCTGATTATGTTTCAGAATCCTGGCATTTGTGCATTAGCTGATAGCTGGTGAACCTCTATGAGCATTTTTGCTCTGATCTAAAGTGGACTTTTGAATCAAATCTCTTGATCATTCAGACTTGCTGCACTTTTGTTCATGTTAACAGAGGTCTTGGTGCAAGCTTGATTACTTTTGCATATAAATAAACTGAGAGTGTGCTACACAAATTGTCACTTAGTCCATCCAACCAGACAAGATCTTTTCTGAAGTAAAAATCCATGAGGTGCTTTTAGTGTAGGCATTGGTTCCTCAGCATCAGCTGGTACATTCTAAGATCTACTCTTACATATTCAATTGACTTGCTAACATAGATTTAACTCACAACCCCAAGCTATACAAAACAAGATATGGAGAAGCTATCCCAGTCTAGGTGAGTGCTGTTATCTTCCCTAGATTTTAGTTAAATTTTCTAGTCATTTAAGAAATCTGCTAAGCAGAAGTGATTAACACCATCAGATATCTGAAGACAAGAAATAATGCAGAATAGAATTGTGAAGTATGAGAGAATGGTCTTTGTTTCAGAGTAGTTCTTAGAGATATTTCTATTAAGATTTATATTTGTCCTATCTCTATGGCATTAATACACCACATTATTATGCTTGCTACATACAACTCCTTGTTGTCACCAATCCTTGAAAAGTTTAGGTGGTGGAAAATAAGTCTTTATATAGTTAGTGCAAAATCAGAACAGATGGGCTAAAGAAATAGAAGAAATGAGCTACTTTTGAGCAGAGCCAAAAGAGAAAAGTATGTGAGCAGGAATTTCAATTACTTGTATGCTTGTATGTCCTGCTGTGCTCTTGAATCATTTTTTGAAAAAATAGCCCCCAAACAATATTCATGGAGTCTAGTATATTGCTATGTGTATATATCATAGAATCATAGAATCATAGAATCACCAAGGTTGGAAAAGACCTAAAAGATCACCCAGTCCAACCGTTCACCTATTCCCAATAGCTCCTACTAAACCATGTCCCTCAACACAACATAGAATCATAGAATCACCAAGGTTGGAAAAGACCTAAAATGTAATAATATGTGTTCATATATATGTATACATACACAAAACTTTCACAGGAGGCCTGCATAAGGACTACAATTACAAAACAAAGGCTGAATAAAAGTTGAATTTTCTCATACACTTTTTTTTTGTTTGTAACTCTCTCTTCATGTTAGAATATGTTCAGCCATCACTTATCGCAGTGTGTGTGGGGGGGAGGGGTGGAAACAACAAGCAAGGAACAATAACAAAAAGTGATGAGACAGATCACATTTCTGTTGAAGTCAAGTCACTGACAGATTTACGTTTACATTATTAAATTTTGATGTGTTCCTACGTGATTGATAAGACAAGGCACGAAATAAGCAATCCAAAGTTATAAGAATGATTACAGAAACAAAAAATTATTTGTTAATGCATTTGATTTACAAAATATGCTCAGTTTAAATAAACTTTTCACTGCAATACTGAAAGGTAGTGTATAGTCTAGTTAGGAATTTTTACAGAGGAAAGAAAATGAGAAAATTGTAACTCAGTGAATTTGTCAAGAGAAAAATTTGGTTTGGAACAAGGGTTAAAGGAGCGAAGAAAAATAAAGTCAGTTCCTAAATATTAGCTTACACTCTCAACATTATATTTATTCTTAGGAAGGTCAGTACTTTATCCTGTATGCCTGATAACTAAAATATTCATTATAATTTTGTATAAATTTAAAAAAAAGAATCAAAATGTATGTGGAAGAGATGAGAATGGAAGCATACATTATTCACAATCTGTGATAGAAAAATCTTGTATGTAGAACGCAGCCTAAAATTTCATCTGTTCTTTTTCCAAGATTCTCATAAAATGAGTATTTTTAAAATACTTGTCTATGTAAAATTCATTCGCACTTTCTCTTACAAACATTTGCTAGTTGTTTTGCAACATTCATTAGTAATGATTATGATTTACATATGTTTAATTATATATATATTTTTGTCCTTCCTGTCTTATCAGGAAAAGAATGCCTCTGAAACAAGCATGTAGAAAAGAAGTGGGAATATGCTTTGCTTAAAACCAGCAGGTGGGGGAACTTCATTTGGTTATTTACTTTTACATTGATAAAAGATCCAGTTTCCTCTCATTTGCACTCTGCTTCCTGTGTCTTGACTTTTAGCATTTTTATCTTTAAACCTTTGTTATGATGACCCAGTTTCACATAGGTGGAGGATAGCTTTGCTTTCTTGGTGTTTTCTGCTGAGACCAACTGCTCTTCTTCAGGATCAGCTTGAGTTAGTGGGACTGATTATTTCTCAGGTGTTCCTAGCTTACAAAGTAAGATGATGCAGGGTTCATTTCCCTGATCTTTCTTTGAGCTTCTATGGTGTGAGTGGAAAAACAAAATGCTCATCTACAACTGCTGTTGTGCTGCAAGGCAGCTAAAAGATAAAGTACTGACATTAAAGTCCCTGAATTTGAGTGAATACTGTTTACAAATTGTACTGCTGAATTACTTTATATTCTTTTATTTCTTTGTTTCTTTTCCTCTGAGTAGAAATGATAATGCCTACTGTAAGTTGATGTAGAGTTATCATCTGCGGCTGTTCTATATATATGGTTTTGTAGCACTGGATTGTATCATAGTATCATTAACTTTCCTGTGTCAAAGTCCGTAATACCTCCAGGACAGGCAGTGTATTGTTACTCAAATCCTATATGCACCCTGCAGTGCTGATATGTGCTGCTAATTTGCTGTTGCCGTGACTAAATTATTTCTTTGCTTGTCCACAAGGAAAGTAATTTTCTATCTTTTTCACAGCAGGCAGTATTGCTCAGCAAGGAAATGTAGGAGTTCTCATGGAGCAAGTAGAGCAAGAGCTGGTGTCTGCTGCCCTGGCATATTATGGCTTATTGCTTTCTCCTGTGGAAGAATGATGGCTGTAGCAGCAGGATCAGTCCACAGAATGCAGATAGTAATTTTGGGAGTACAAAGGTTTATTTGCACTTTTGGGAAGCCATCTGGCAATACCTTCCCTCACTAGTACTGTTGAGACTACTGAGGAAAGGTGTGTGTCAGGGCACTGTGCTGCAGTGATGAAGGGAGGTATCCCGCAACTGAGATGGATAGCTACAGTTTTGTGACCTATGGGTATGTACATTTTCTTATTCATGCTGAAGAACCTATTCACTTCTTGATCAAACTGTATTAGGTAAGAGTTCTTACTATAAAAGAAAATCCAAAGGAATACTGTATTCCAGATGACTGCTCCATGGAGCTGTCAGTATTTGAGTCATAGAAGCCAAATATTGTCACCAGAAGCTCTCAGCACAGTTGACTACAAAATGGATACTAGTTAAAACAAACTAATCTTAAGATTGTTTTTACATTATGGACACTTGGTGTTATAATGTTTTGTTAATCACACTAGTAGATTGAATAGATCATTGAGTTAATTAACAATTTTTAAAAAGATCTTGATGTATTATGAATTTCAAAATCTTTAGCAGGGGTACATCACTGATTCTGTCCTTTTAAAAATAATATTAATAAAAACGGTAATATCCAGTTGAATTTTTGAAGAAGAATATCATCCTGATAGGGCTTAAATGTGCTGGGATGCATTTTATTCATGATTTTATTACAAGCAATTTCATTCTGTGGCAGGTGTTTGGCATCCCACAACAGCAATTCATGCTTCCTGTAAATATATCATTAAAATGAAAAATATGCACTTTTAAGATACACATGTAGTAAATCAAAAGCTCATTTTTGCTTAAATATTTTACTTCATCTGTGCAGGATGATTTTTCAAAGCGTATTTTGCAGCACTCAAAACAAGGCCAACTGGATGGCAGCAAGGGATGCATCTATTCTGAAAGCTTTAAAAGGTCCACTGTAAGTGAATGCCTTATTCTTTTCATATCCCTAAGCCAGCCTCTCAAAAAGTAAAGGGTGTAATTTTGAATTAGATCTCTGAGCAGCTCAACAAAGGTGGATATTTCCTTGTATGAGTACAGAAGGTGAGAGAGAGAGTGGGGAAACAAATCCTTTTTCTTCTTTTGCTCTTATTGAGCCAAACTCCTCATTGTTCTTTTAATGGAACAAGCTATATGGAGCAGTTGGCTGGTTCAAATAGACACGTGTCCTGCTGTGAATAAGGGTTTTGGCACTTACATCTTATATCCTATACATAAATAAAAGTGTAGTACTACAAGGCACAGTCTTGCATATCTTTCTACAGATGGCCTGCACACTGTGTTTGCAGAGATTATGTGTGCTGTGTTCATATATTCAGGTGTTGTGTTTGTATATACACATGCCATGATCATTGTCCAGAGTAGATCTTGCCTTCTGAATAAGATAGGAAAATATACCTCATCCTTCTGCTTGATGTTATATTTACTTAGTAAGAACTATCTTGTAAGACAGTTTTCACTGCATTGAACCTGTACAATGCATGTCTGTGGAAGATGAATCACCTTTGGATATCCCTGAAAGAATTGAAATTTTATAACAACTCAGTTTACACTGAAAATAGTAAAATACTAATTATTAAAATATTTAGAATTAGAAACACCACTTTTGCATTCATTCAGTAATTTTTATTCATGGAGTTTTTTCCCCTCTCAAAAAAAAAAAAAAAAAAAAAAAAAAAAAACACAGAAATAATTCTTGTTTTCTGGCTAATTCATTGTTTTTGCAAATTCATTAGTCAAAGAATACAATTATCCGTTCATTCTTTGATTTTGTTTAAGCAAAGGCATTTCATTTATACATTACGTTCCTGAATGAATTGAATTCTAGCAGTAATTGACTTATTGTCCTACGTAAATTAGACTACATTATCCTTTATTGTTAAATTCAGTTCAACTTATGGAGCAATTATTGGTAGCATAAGAGTTTTGTTAACAAACAGATGCTAATTAACTTAGGATTAACTGATTTAATTCTGAATAGATGTAATTGTTCTCTGATCTTAGTAATGAACGTGTAGTTTCTGTAAGTATGCCTTTCAAGTATGGTTAAAATTAATCATATATCACTAGATTGCGTTTTCTCAAAGTGAAGCAGAGATTTTGTATTATTCACTAAATGAAAATATATTTTTCTCATAGGAAAAGTAGACGTGTCTTTATCATTAGTCATGAGTGTTTACACTGTCTTTTTAGAGATACACAAACATGTTTATCAGTCTTGGTTTCTGCATTTGAGCAAGGGCCATAAGGTGAAGAACTGAACAATTATATTGAGAATCTGTGAAAATGTAAAGGCAACCTGCCAAGGTTATGTTTGATGCCTAGGAGGTCAACAGCAAATAAATTTATTATTCTTTAAAATCTAAGTCTGTTCTTGTATTCGAATAGGGTGTGTGCACCCTGGTACTTGTCATGCTAAAAAGATAAATACTAAAACTGCTTCCTTTTTTGAATATTACTTTTTTGATTATAATCAGCAACTGCCACAAATTCAGGTGAATTTAGTGGTCAGTAGCTGCAACATTTATCAGTGAGAGGAACTTTGGTTTTGTGAACATTAATAAGTAGATCAAACTGGTGTTATAGAGCAAGGCACTCCTCCACCAGTGGGATTTCACAGTAATTTGTCTAATTAAAGTCTTATAGATAAAATCACAAAAAGCATTATTTGATCAAATTTAGCTTACTTCTCCATTCTTGGAATATTATTTGAGGTCCTGTATTATTTCTGTGCAAGAAAAAGCTTTCAGTTGTTTCTATATTCATGCCTTTGATTTGTTAAAACTATAAAAAGTGAGAAGGAAACTTACCTAAGACTGTGAACTGAAATGAAAGAAAATGTTTACTGTCACTCTGCAGGAGTGTACCCTGCTAGTACTCTGCAGGAGAGTATTCTACCAGTACTTGCAAGGCCCTAATTATTACTGAATGATAATACAGACAATGGGAGTTTTGCCATTGACATCCTCGAGGCCCAGTTTCAGTGTTTATTAACACAGCTAGGTTTCTTTGGAGCTTGGAGCTTGGAGAGATTTTGCCCTTGTAAATTACTTTCCCCAGGATGTCTGGAAGGACCATGTGAAGAAGGATTAGGAACAAATGAACACCTCTGTTATTTCACTGAGCAGTTCTGTCAGGAAAGAGGTGGAATATAAACCCACCCACATAGAGTTCCTCTACTGTGCTTCTACCTTCTTCCATCTTCAAAGTCCCTGCAGCAATAACCTTGCTGCCCTATCTCTCTGGAGTAAATGTCTCTCCATGTGTTTCACCTCCTTTTCCATTCCATGTTGCAGCAGCAGGGATGGCTATTGTTTCATCTCACCTGTATAAAACGTAAGTAGGGCAGAATTACAGAGAACTGAGATCTTACCATGACCATGCAAACATTTCTATCTTAAGTTGCAAAGTCCTTTTATACTTTCTACCTATTGGACTGTATTTTCCACTCATTCTTATGAACGTTTTTCTTTATCCATTAAAAACATGAGTATGTCTTGCAAGTAAATGCTTTGGCTAGAAGACAGCTACTTGTAAACTCATCTCGTTTTTTAATATAATTGCACTGGGGCAATCCAGCAGAAACAATAAACATGGAGATTTATAATTGAAGTGCTCGATTTGAGCAGAAAAGATTTAGACTGCAGAGGTGATTTTTTTTTTTTTTTTTTTTTTTTTTACAGCTTTTTGGTACATAGGTGTGAAATTTTTTTATTAAAAAGACATACCAATTTTCCAACATTCTTACATAGTGCAGCTTAATGACATGTGAAATACGAATGTACCCACAACTTCAAATGCAGATTTTCGTGATTTGATTAATTCTGCATAGAGCTGTATAAATGCTGCTTGTTTCAAATAATCCAAGCCTGAAGAACAAATTCTGCCTGATTCTTTACCTGTGCCATAAGAACCTGCTTTTATCCCATCAAAAGATTAATTAATTAAAAGTCTCTATTGTCAGAGAAATATTCTTATATTTGCAAAACTGGCTAACAATTTTTCAGAAAGTCAAGCCAGATGAAAATGCCAACTATGCAGTGTGTCACTTCCCTGAAATGTAACAATTTACTTATTTGTTATGATATCTAACTTACTACTACCTCATTATTAATACCACCTCATATACAATCTATTGAAATGGCTGATACTGTTCCTGAAGATCTATAATGATGTTCTGAGTACATATAATTGAATAAGGAATTGCGGCTTTGACCTCTTGTTATTATTTCCAATACAGTAAAGTTGGAAATAAAACTTGTATCCCTGACAGCAAAATATTTAAGGGAGCTTAGAATTTTTGCTTCTTTTTTCTTTTTTTATTTCCAAGTTGCCTTCTTATTTCAACATGTCCCTACTTTCACTACTTTTAGTCATGATTTTAGTCATCATTCTGCATACAAAATGGTGTCAGGCTGAAGTGCTGACCCCATGGAGGAGATGGCATGCATGCAGGCCAACAAGAAGTGTGTTCTTGAAGCAGTTTCATTCCTCTTGCTCCAGAATCGCCGCTTCAAATACGGCTTCAGATACGCCGCTTCAAATACGAATAATGTTTCTGTTCCTCGCTGTGTAGAATCTCTTTGTTTTTATTCCCTTCTTTCTTTGTTCAGCCTACTTGCACTTAGGACACAAAATTTCATAAATTGCTACTCTGCTGTTCATTAATCACTTCAAATGCTCTATTTGCCAGAATTCTTGTTGGTCTCAGAGACAAAGAGTGCAAGTTTACCAGATAAGAAACCACCTTCAATCAGTAGCGAGTTTTGTTTTGTTTTTTAAATGGTAGCATTGCTGTTTATTTGACTTTATATGAATTTTACCTAGTCCTCAATCAGAGATGTAGAAAGTTCACCAAGATACAGTTTCATGACTGAATAGAATTTAACCTTGAAACCATTTTGAATGTTTCTGCAATATGAAAGACACATTTACAACATAACCCTCTCCTACGCTTCTTCTGAAAAGATTCATGATTCTTCATGAAGAAAATCAACAGTCTTCTGTGGGGAAAAATGATTTCACATTAATTCAGCTTTTTTTAAAGCTGTTTCTGAGGAAATCTTGCAGCTAGAACATAACCACGTGTTCTTGGAATTCAAACATGTGCAGAGGGTAAAGATTAATTCCTACAAATGCTCTGCTGTACTGTCCATGGCTTTATCTCATGCCTTTTAAGCATAATTGATTAATGAATGCTAGATTATTTTGTATTTTATTTTGTATAATGTTGTGTTTTCTTATTTGAGGACCAAGCTAAATGAAGACTAGGCAATTAAAAATTCAGATAATATTCTTTTCCATGCATAATACCCTGTGCCTGTAAATATCTTAAAATTATCCCT